TGTGTGTGTGTGTGTGTGTGTGTGTGTGTGTGTGTGTGTGTGTGTGTGTGTGTGTGTGTGCGCGTGTGTGTGTGCGACGACAAATACGCCTTTAGCACTCTTCACGTGAATCTCGGTCACTAGTGTCTACGTGTGTGGGGTTTTCTACCTGTCACTAACTTGCAGGCAGACGACGCGAGCGATGATCATCCATAATTTCGTATCTTGTGGCGTACGAGTACAATTATCGAGGGCGTGGGAGGAATTAGTTGTATCTATATATACACGCGTATGCGTGCACGGTTCATACACGCAAGACAACGCGTGATGTCGTCCGTGTCGTGATGTCGTCCGTGTCGTAATAACGTCGCTTGACTTCGTCGCGCGATGCCCGCGATTAATTAAAACTGGAAATTACAACAAACAACGGAAGGCGCGCAAAACCCCTCGCGTGACTGCTCAAACATTCGGGCACTATGAATTCGCCATTAGGCCTTAATCACGATGATAACAGAGATTTTGCAGACTGGCGAGTTCAGCCGAACGCTCCGCTCGAACTGCTGTTTATCACTGGCAATGGTTCATCGGGGAGGCTATAGCGACGGCATTTGCTATTCCGCGGCGTTTCGGCGCAGCGCTGCCGACAGTAACGGCGGCCATAAACGCAAGCACGCGCTCGCAGACGAAACATGCTCAGAGGTTCTACTCGATGGTGAGGCGTTAACGCGCTGTGCGCGACTGCCTAAGCATTATCCAGCGCCGCGACTCTCGGCGTATATAGTGCCGTCCATAAACTATCGCACTTAACCCGTGCTTCGCCATAATGCCTTATGTTATATGCCCGATGTCCTCAAGATATTCGAGCGTGCGCTAGCGGCGGGCCGTATAAATGCAGGTACTCTCCCGAGAGCTCGGTGCGCGCTGTATGCGATGCTACGTGATGTACATTAGGAGGCAGGAGGAGTGGAGCACGAGAGATGAATAAAGCCAAATAACCTCAGCCTAATTGTGGCATTATGCCTGGCCTAATCTACCCGTTAGCTATTTGTTAATACGGCGCACAATGGCTACTGTACATGGCCGCGTGGATGTGCACCCTTTGGCGGATATGCAGGCGCGAAAAGCGAGGCAGTGATACGTCTATATCAGAAGTAGATAATAGGGAATAGTTCCCTATTATCTACTTCTGGTCTATATGCGCGCACGCGTGTGAATGTGAGAGGCGCAGGTGTCGTAATGGCGCGAATCATTTAGAATTTAGAACAATGTAACCGCAAAGCAAAGAGTTGACGCTGCATCTCAATGTGATATCTAATAACGTGCGAGATTAGGGGCTGTTCTTTGCATGTGGAAATGTAGCTGTAAGCAAAGAAAAACAGTTTATAGATGCGGCCGATCGATGAGCAGGACACAGGTGTTAGAACGAGGCGCTAAGTCGCAGTGTCATAGCCTGCATACCGTTCTACAGCGCGCACGCACGTACGCGCCAGTACTATAACGTGTTCTAACAGACCGACAAACGTGCGAAAATACCAATGATGACTCTTCGTTTGCCCAAATGTTTTGATATCCGCCGGGTCAATTCTTTTGTTACCCTGCGCCGGCGGTAGCGCTTCGCGTTGTTTCTCGCTGCTCTCGGCGGCGTAGAGTTGCTCTGGGTATAGAGGCCCCGCTCTGACAGCAATCCAGCTTCGGCTGCCCATCATCGTGACGCACGAAGACTCGTCTTGACAGGTATAATCTCTTCTCTCTTGTGCAACCAAACTTACCTGTCATGTTCGCGGGCATCGCAGCCGTTTGATGTGTTCCGGAGGTGGGAGGGAGAGGGGTGAGAGGTGCATTACCGGCCGGGGAAGAGGGAACCGGTGGGGGTAGGGTGAGGGGTTTACTGCCGGGCGAGGAAGAGGGCACCGGTGGGGGTAGGGTGAGGGGTTCACTGCCGGGCGAGGAAGAGGGCACCGGTGGAAGAGAGCTAGGGGTGCACTACCTGGCGGGGAAGAGGACACCGGTGGCGGCAGGGAGGAACCGCATCTCATTGTACGTCTCGGTGTGAGCAGCCGGCGCGTCGCACGCCGCCGTCGGCACCCGTCGACGTCGGCGTCGGCGCTCCGTGACACGGCAGGCGCGACACGCAGCACAATGGCCGGTGCGGCGGCAGTGTCGCCCGCCGTCGTGAACGCTGCCTGCCCGCCGGCTCTCCTATAGTCGAGGGCGCGCGGCCTATGAGTGACAGCTCTGTGATGTAATAGCGGCCAGATTATGCTCATAATTTATGAATAAAATATAGACTGATTGACTGAAAAAGTCTCGTACGAGTTAAGTGTCGGCGGCGAGAGCGCGTACGCACAATGCGCCTGAATGGTCGATTCAGGAGACCGCCAATTTACATAGAAATTTACATTAAAATTGCATAAATTGCTTATCCTATCTTTTTAATATTACATCGCAAGATGGCATTAACGATTCTCAACATTTGCTGTATTGGTATTTTGTCACTGCTGCTCAGGGAAGCATGAAAACTCGAGCGCACTTTAGTTGAACATAAGTTCGCCTGGATGCCGCTCGTAGACCATCTATGCCACACCAGCTGTAACATCATCTTAATCTAATATGGATTTAGGGCAAAAACGGTTGCAACGGCTGCCAATAATGTCGCGTTTCCGTCGCTAAAACGTGTAAATATCTATTGGGAAGTGCGTGTATGGATGTGTTGCGCGCGCGCGCGTGTGTGTACATGTGTGCGTGCGTGCGTGCGTGCGTGCGTGCGTGCGTGCGTGCGTGCGTGCGTGTGTGTGTGTGTGTGTGTGTGTGTGTGTGTGTGTGTGTGTGTGTGTGTGTTTGTTTAAGGTGGGGTTAACTACACACACACACGTCGCACAGCGAGCAGGCAGCGACGACCACGCGACGAGGGCACACGCACACGCACACGCCACACGACAGCCGTAAACACACACAACCACACGCCACACCACAGCAGCCACAACGAACAGCACACACACACACACAACACACACACACACACACAAGGGGCTGGGGAAGAGGGACGAGAGAGTGAAAGGTGGTGGTGAAAGAGACAGACAGACGGAGAAGGCGAGAAGAAAGCAAGAGAAACCGGGGGGGGGGAGCGACATACGGGAGTGATTTCCTACGTTATTAATCGCCGGTTGCCATGAGGTGAATTTCAGCAATATTTTGACTGTTGACGCTCGATGATCCACGCCACATGTATAAACTATACGCCGGGGCTGCTTTTTAAACATGATTGATGAGCCAGAAGGCTGGTGCTTGGTCAGGATATGGGGCCAATTTGTGTGAATTCCAGGCGGGGTGCAGCGAGCTCTACCCGTGTTTTTGTAAGCAGGCAAGAGTTGAGTCTCACGCTTTACTCGCTTCGCGTTTAATGCTTGTCGTATACAGAACGTCCGAATTTCGCTCGGTTAAGACAGCAGCTTCGACCATTTTTGCTGCGGCGTCTTTTCACGCGCGCACACATAGAGCGGAGAGTACTCGTCTGCGGGCGTGTTAGCCTGCACACGAAATCTTACGACTATTGCCGTGACGACGAGCCTGCTGTTCAGCAGTTTCGCGTGATTCGTAATGGCCTGAGGAGGGCGCGGCGACTAAACCGCAGCGCCGACGGACGGACATAAAGTAGTACGAAGTCGATCGCCGCCTGTCGTAGAAGAAAGAAAAAGACGACGAACGGAGAGAGCGGCGGCGAGGGGGTGGCGTTACTGTACTGGCACACACGCGCGCGCGCGGGGCGGCTTCTCACTACAGCTACTGCTAGTGTTACCGCAGTGCTACTGTTAGTGCTGCTGCTGCTGCTACTAGTGTTACGCGCACCGTAGGCGATAGCTCGGTTTTTCATTCTCGTGCGTTCTGTTTGCTCGCAGGTGCATCAGTTCTGGCCTCTCGTCGAGATACAATGCAGTCCGGACTTGAAGTTCTTCCTGTGCAGCATGTACGCGCCAATCTGCATGACGACATACGACAAGCCCGTACCAGCGTGCAGGTAAGTGTCGCTGCCAAAGCTAAAACCTAAAAAATTGTAAATTAACAAGTAAAATGATGCATGCGTCAAAATACTCACGTGTGCGCCGGATTTTCGTTGAGTATTTTGACGCATGCATTATTTTATTTGAGTGAAATTACTCACGTGTGCGCCGGGCTTAAATAAATATCAAACTTCGATTCTGTCATTTCGAACGCATTATTTTGCGCTACCTTTGACGCGCGTGCAATGTGGTTAGATTCGTTAGAACGAACTGCTGTTTAAGCGCATACACGCACTGTGCGCCCATGGAAAAGCGGATGTCAATAGCGAATTTGAACGGGTTCACGGCACGGATAGTGTAACTCTGAACGACGAGGGTGTTAGTAGGATGCATACTATAGCCGTTGGAGGATTGATGCAGCTGTACACATATAGCGCCGTATCTGAAATGTGCATCTATAGGTGGCGGACAGTAGCTACACTAATGGCCCAGCGGTGGTCCTGGTATTTCCACCCTCTATGCACCTTTTCAAAACAGCACTCTCGAAGAACGTTTACTAGCGGACATAACTGGTCCCTAATTTTCGCGCCCCTTGTTCCGTCAATGCAGTCAGCTGTACATTAGGCACTACATTTAGAAAAATGTGTGAATGGTCACAGTTATACTGCGGAGACCCCCGCAGATTGGCAGCTGACCTGAAAATCTTATTATCTTTCGAATTTCTTTGTCGGAACGTAAATCTCGTGATATATCGGCCCGCCCCGAGAGCGATTTACTTCTGTTTGGAGAAGGTTAAGGATTTTTTCCCTCTCGCGTCGGTAAATGCAAAACAGTGTGAGAACGGACGTCATTTGTTGCCTATAGGTGTATAGAGCCTATATACGGGTACTACTACTGTAGAGGCTGTGCCACTAGCCGCTCGCCACAGCTTGTAGCCAACGAATTAACGGTCTCCTTCAGCTTGGCCATGGCTAGAAAAATATTGAGCTGCCTACCACCCCCCCCCCTCACACACACACACACATACATATATGGTTGCTGTACTTGCGCATATACTCTTGTATGCGTCCCGTCGTGAGTTAGAATAATTGCTAACACCGAGTGTACGAGCGCTTGTCTTGAATTCCTGACGACGGCGTGTTTTTGTAAGGCGGCCGCGGCGAACTGCAACTAGAGCCCAAATGATACGAGATGATAGGGCTTTGATCGTCAAACGCAGGCTGAGTGTACGCGCCGGTTACAGCGCCGAGGAGTAAGAAGAGGGTTGCAATCAGAGTTTTCCGGTGGCGGTCATCCTCGGTTGTCAATTTGGCGTTGCCTAGCAACGATCCTTAACAAGGATCGGGAGCAAGAGCGAGCTCGCAGAAAAGAAAGAGAGAGAGAGAGAGAGAGAGAGAAGAGAGGGACAGAGAGAGAGAGAGAGAGAAGAGAGAGAGAGAGAGAAGAGAGAGAGCGAGAGAGAGAGAGAGAGCGAGAGAGAGAGAGAGACAAGAGGGGGAGAGACACACACACGAGAGTCAGTAGAACGGTAAGGTAGTATACGTACGTTACGTACCGAACGCGACGTACGAGGACAGTACGTCGTTCGGTTTAC